TAGGTTCAAACTTGGTTAATGATAGAACTGGTAATGAGGTATAAGTTCCACATGAATGAGTACTGATAAATCAAAGTGATAATGTTGATGAATTTTCCCATATTATATTGATTATTATTTTAATTAAACATGTTTGGGAAATTCGTAGTTATCATTAACGTATTTAGCAATGAAAATGTACAAAAACAAGATACATAAATATAAGTATTTTTTAACATTACTTTATCTATTTCTAACTAAGTTCCTACACAGAAACCATCGAAAACTGAACTTATTTTTTCTTATAATAGCATGCGTAAACTTCTCCGTAGATGATATAGACCTCTTTCTTTCCTTTAGAGCACTACACTACGCTGATGCTGCGACAACGTGGCGTCTGGGCGGCGCATACGTTGATCGAACGCCTACGCTGGACAAACGCTAGTGTAAAGTGTCTTATCCGTCAATAAGTTGAAAGTTCGTTACTGGCATACAAATAAAATCATTGTGGCTAGAAGGTTAAGATGCCCGATCCTCATGCATGAGTTCGAAACCCACCAAGCGCAAGTACCAATGTGACTTTTTCCGAGTTATGTACGTACGTACTTTCTAAGATTATTCAGACACCACTGACAAACGGTGAAGGAAAACATCGTAAGGAAACCTGGGCTTATAATTTCTAATTATAAGTTTGTAATCGCCAACCCGTATTGAGCAAGCGTAGTGATTAATGCTCAAACCTTTCTTCGTGTGCATTTGTAGACTATTGATGTGTAATAATAGGTATGAATACAAAAAATAAAATCATTTCTTTACTCGTTATTTACGACTCTGTATCAAAGTTATCGACAACATCGTTATAAATAAGGAAGTAAGTAATAATAACAAACATATAATATCTTAATCTGCGCCGACATTCTATAATACCTTGTACAAAGATTTTAAATTGATTACTATTTCTTATCATTTGAAAAAATTGTTAATCCGTTCTTTTTTTTGTGAAAAAATGTACAGTCAGCCAAGATATAGTATAAAGTATAAAAATATGTATAAATCTCTCGATAGATTTCGTTCATGATGGCCAGTCTGTCTAACTAGACTAGCCTATTACGCAGGAGGTAATATTGTGCACATGTAGGTGCGCAAACACAGGTGCACTCTCTGTTCCCTCACTCTCTGAACCCGATGATGGCAAATCTACACGACCGGAGAGAAGTCAGACGCAGGATCAACAACTTTACATGCTTTCCGAGGCACGATGGTGAAATACCGCCGAACTTTCTGACTCCGGGCTAATAATGGTAATTTTAACTCAAAACCGCGGGTTACTCACGTGAATATACTGAGAAAAGCTTTACTAGTTTCGAACCACAGAGGGATTCTTTATCATGAGCAGCGTGCGCGGTCGTGGCGATGTCGCGCAGGCTACTGAGTAGGCTCACGTAAGTACGTTGCACAGCAGCCGATCACCCAACCACTACGTCAATTGTGCAATCAGCCAAGATATTTGGTATGTGGGTAAGAAAATAAGAGATTGATAAAGTAGTAAAGTATTGATATTCTAAATTATAATTGCTTTTTAAACGACTTCAAAAAAGGTGAAGAGGTTCTCAAGGTTTTTTTTTATAAACCTTGTCCCACACTAGGATTTTCTCCTGTGTTGTGGGTGCGTTTACAAACACACAATTTAACATATCCAAACCCAAAACAACAATCTATAGATTACACAAAGAGTTGTTCCGTGCGGAAATCGAACCCGCGACACGTTACGCGGCAGCCAGTTGCCCAACCACCGCACCGCCAACAACTATGCAGTCGATGTATACCTAATACTCGTATTTAGATAAATAATCTACTTATTAAAAAATATAAATAATTTTAGTGTCACAGATAAGGCAATCTAATCAGCAGAGTTAATGTAAGCAGTTATAATCTTAAACGATCGAACTGAAATACGCATTCATAGAAATTAACATTATTATTAGGTAATTAGTCAAAAAATTGATATCGAATTAGGCTCAGTAGCTTAAATACGTCACAATTTTAATGTAAGAACATGATATTTTTTCGTAATAACAACTTTTCTGATAACATCTTTGCTACATACTTTTTTTTTCTATATTGTTAATGGCATGTGTAGCTAATTGCGAAAGCGTGTTTTTTAAGTTTTTAATCTGTTGTAAATATTTGGATGTGGGTCCGGTGTTTGATTAGGCTTGCCCCCTTTATTTACGTAACTGATGAATAATGGATGTTTTATAAATGCACTTTAGTTTACAATTTCGGGGGTTAACCGGCGTGTATTGTTATGTATATGAAAATATATGACAAATGTTTTTTTTCTAAACTTAGTCTGCAAACCATTCTATATAGAAAATGTCCATAGTTCAGTATTATTATATACTAGCGACGCACCCCGGCTTCGCACGGGTGTTATATGCATGTATTATACATATAAACCTACCTTAAGAATCACTCTATCTATTATAAAAAAACGCATCAAAATCTCTTTTTCAATCAGGTTTACAATACAATTCTCTAGTTACATAGTTTTGTTGGTTCGATTGGAACCACCTTCATGACTTAATCATAGTTAATCAACCTCAGCCTTTAGGGCTTCATGTACTAATTCAGTAGTATTAGAAATCTGCTCGACCTGTGCCAACAATTGCTAATACAATCCGGAGCACGTCACATCAAGGAAACAGTGAATAGGCAGCCCTACAGCCACCATTGTCCACCACGGACGGCCATTATCCACTATTGTCCAACTATCAAGCCTTCGGTTTAGTTCAAATGTATTGTAACGACCAGTAATCGAATATTCTCTTCCGAAGCCTTTAACGGAACAGGTAAATTGCAACCTTATTCCTAAGTAGAGTAGAAACCTTTTTGATGTTCAAGGTTTTGTTTAATTACAATCAGAAGGTGGAAATGTGTTTAAGAAAAACTAATTTGTCGTGAAGGCTTTTGGTTAAGTTGTGTGGACTTAATATTCAGACATTATCGTTGACAAACCAAAAATACACAATTATTTCGCACTAATAATATCAAAAACTGTTTTAATGTACCTATGCCGTGAATAAGTAAAAAGTAAAAAGAACTGTAAAAAATAAATCAATCATAGAGTAGGAGCGGCCATTATTAAATCGTAACAGTGACAGTTCGACAAGTTGGCGCGCTTTTGCATCGCCGCCGCCATTACAAAATGATTACAAAATGTCACGAGTGTTAAGATTATAGTTAAGATACAGTTTAATTAGCATTTTGTACTAATTAAACTGTATCTAAGAATACTAAATACAATAGAATAATATCTATTACTACCTAATTTAATTTGATTTATTGATCGTTTGTAGTTCAACGTTGATATATTCATTTGAAACCGATGAAAGTTATGCTAATGAATTATATCAAAGCACTTAAAGGACTATCTGAGGACATTTCTGACTGCTGCCTAAATCCACATTGACTAAAAGGACTCCTACTAATTTCCATAAGGGTTGCCAAATCTTTGGTGAGGATAGATATTTGGGGAACCCGGCACTATAATCCATTATCAGGTTTTCAATGGGGTTCTATAGATATCAGTAGGTATATTTTTATATTGGAATATCAACCTTAATCTTTTGCAGTAAAATTCTTTTAAAGGTTCTTGACCGTTTGTAGCTTGATGTGTCTGAACCGCAACGTAAATTTTTGAAAGAAAATGCCTAAAAATATATTTCCTCTTTCATATGCATAGTGCATGTATATTTTTGAATATTGCATCAGTCTAGTCGTCACCGCACGGTGCGAAAATTGGAGCAATTTTTTTCCATATCGACAGTATTAACCTGCCTGTACTATGAATGTTAAATTCGAAAAATTCTGTTCTTTTCGCATATAAGTTAAAATTGGTTAGCTAAGCCATTAAATGTAGCCTTTGGTAGAATATTGGCACGTTTCATTGAAAGAAACCTTATTCTTCGCAGAAATAAGTCATAGATTCCATTGATTGATTTGAGCTCTCAAAGATAATTATCTTTGTAACATCATAACAAACAATTAGCTATTCAAGTTGGTACTTGTATTAAATTATTCTGTTTATCTCCACTTGACAAATCACTACAGCTTTATATAGAACGAACTGAGTGTTTAGTTATTCTAAGGCCATCAATTGAGACGTTTTAGTGATGGGAATTGTTCTATTTAACGCATTCTAGACAACAAATAAAGCTGGTAAAGACTGAATTTAGCAGTTTATTATTTTTAGATAATTATTAAACTCTTTTTCAGAGTAAGATGATAAAGTAACTACATAATATGAATTGAATTAGATATTCAAAATAATAAATTAATTGTACTTAACCAATTAAGACTCTTGTCGTATGATTTTTTTTCTCATAAAACCAAAGTTTTTGCGTAAAGTAGAAGCAAATAATACGCAACAAGATCTCTAACTCGGAATCAGTACAATGAAACGCTTAATTGCTTCACATCCTGTCATATGAGATGGCAACAATCCAATTATAGTGAAAGTCATGTTTCGGCTGCTAGCCAGAGGCATTAACTACCCAAGTTATCAGAAACCGAATCTATCCACGCCACCACTGACAGGTTAATCTGTCAACAGCGCACAGATTATACATCGAAGACCAGTCTTCGTTTCTCATTAAAACATTACGAAAAACTAGTTTGAAGTTTCACTTATCTTATAACAAGTCAACGGCCTTCTGAATTTAAAATTAGAGTTTGCCATTAACAAAAATAAAAATAAATGAATAATCAATAGCTTCTACTTTCGTTGAAGGTGAATGCAAAACAGTATAGCTACTTGTGAGTACCTAATTTAATTTTGATACTATGTTCGATAAGATTACGCTTCCTAGATCGGACTTCTTTAATGCATTTCCAATAACAAACATTATTGCGATATACTCGTATACAACAGTAATTAGCGTCGTGGAATCAGCTAGAACGAAAAGAGAAATGAAGTGGATTTTTTCTCTATTTGGACTTTTAACATATTTTTTTCTTACCTCTTCAATTTCATCGTCTGGTTCCTCAGCTATGTTTGTAAGTATAGCGCTAGGTCTCATTGAGACCCTACGCCGAACGGACTTGGTCCATAAATCAGGATCTTCTTTTTCATCACTGACAATTGTGAATTGTTCATAGAAATTAATCACGTCAACGGTGACGTTGTCAGCTTTACTTATATTATTATTATGTGGCACCTCCCTAACGACACTGGATGGTCTTTTTCTCTCAGTAATTCTTCTATATTCTTCTACATCCTGTTGTTCTCCAAGTACACTCATCGATCTCAGACCTTGCTGGCCATATTCATATTCTAGATCGAACCCTCTATCTTCGAAAAGACTCTTGAATCGAGCCCAACATCCCAAATTCTTCTTTTTGTCCACCGTTGGAGGATTCTCAACTACATTTACGTTGTTCTTATGCATTTTTCCTGTCTAATTCTTTTCTTTTACAGTCTTTCTAGAATTAATTGTTTTTACACCGAAATAATCGTTCACATAATGACGTTAGCCCTTTACAAGTGATTAGTAAATCTTTTTAAATTGAAATCAATGCTAATCTGAACATTAGAGATTACACAGATAGTGTAGCTTTCCGGTAGTTCGATAATTATTGTTTTTCAGTAGTTAGAATTGAATTACTACATTCTGCTTGATTTAAAACTGAAGGTTGTCACTCATTACGTTTATCGCTTCATCGACATTAATGTGTTCTTCTGGTAGTGACAAAGATTGCAATTTGATTGTTATCTTTGCACTATCAAAATACTTACTCACATTTACACAGCTACCATTTTTAAAACTCAACCAAGACACAGATAATAGAAGATCACAGGTCACATAATTTTCACAGAACACCACTGTTTTGCACGTGTATTATTTATTATTTTCGAGTCCTCCGTGACTTATTCAGTCGAGGTATTATATCGAACTAAAATATTAAGAATTATTGTCCTTATACAGACTGATAACACTTATCGATTAGAGGCGCACTGATTACGTTTCATAAGTCAGTCCAATATGTTGATTGAAATACTTATAACACTATTTCAGTTTAATTATAATAATGACATCGATTTTTACATTCATGTTTCCAGAGACAAAACAATCCATTCAGACTGCGTCGTCGAAAATTCTGCATTGGCAATACCTTTAAAATTGTTTTCTAATCAAATAATAGTTAGCAATTCACTTGAATTGCTGCATTTAACATATTCCAATAACTTCAATTCTGAACAAATCAACGTATCAGTTTACATTGACTTGCTTTTTTCAACAAATAAGGTCAAAGTTAAGGCTTCGAAATAATACTATTAGTCGACAAGTTACGTAGATACGTACTGAAGCTAATGATATGATGTCACGAAGTAATTATTGTATCAAATGACATAGAAACAAGTAGCATGCTAATGATACATGATCAGACAAGTAAACTAATACATATTTAGCAGGTACCTAAGTAAGTACTAAGCTGGTAGTCTTTGACATTGACTTTGAAGTCATAGATGGGACTAACTTGATGGACGATTAGTTAGAAGCAGTAGAAAAGTTTGATGCAATCTGTCATCATGAACTAGATGAATACGGAAGGATAGTTAAAAAAGATCAAGTTTAAATTTTGGTAACTGTGAGGCCAAAAAATTTATATTACCTACTCGATCAAAACTTATTTAGTGTTAAATAGGGATAACTCTCAAATGATAGATACTACTTGAAATAATGTAAAATTATATTACCTACGAGTAGGTAATATAAAAAAATTATATTACCTACTCGATCAAAACTTATTTAGCGTTCAATAGGGTTGTAAAAGTATAACTCTCAAATGATAGATACTACCTACTTGAAAATGTAAAATCTCTCTTTCGTTTAACAGTTTTGTCAACAACTTAAACATTCAACTCTTTTAAACATTTAAATTCAACATGACACAGTACATACCATCCCACAAAGAGCTGAACTTCCAAAAACACCATATTGGATGGAACGATTTCCATAAAACGCTGACCCGTAAACTCATTCATTCTTAAGAATATTTTTGCACCAATCAAGCGCTCGTAAAAAATGATCACATCATCATTAATCACTGCAAATGGACAATCCTGCGCAGGCCGTCTAAAGTGAGGTGTTTTGCGACAAACGGACATGGACCTTGACCCATCTGATTGGTTCGGCGCCAGAATTCAATCACCAATTTAGTCTTTTGAATTCGTTATGACAATTCAGAGTGCTTTTTTATTGGTGGTTAATGCGAAAACGGAATTGGATTGTTATTATATATGGGTTAATGTAATTGGACTGGGTAGTTGAGAGCTATTATTGTAGTTGGAGATACGCTGGTTTTGCTAAAAATGGAATTCGACTTTTGTCATTATAAGGCATTTATTTTTAGGTCAGAAATTTTAAGAAATAAGGGGTTTTAATGAAGAAATACTGACTTTTGAGGCGTTTTTATGAATATGTCAGTAAAATATGTTTGTATGTTAAATATCATAAGTTGTTTATAGTCATAAGAATCGAATAATTATGTGTGTAAGACTAAAAGTATAATATTATCACAGCTATTTACCACAAGATGTCACGTTCACAGAACGTCAAATTTTCCATTTAATTAATTGGTCCTAGATTATACTCAAGAGCATTTGCGTTCATGTAAGCGATGGAAAGAAGTAATATTTCAGAATTTAAACATATTTAATTTACGATTTTCATATGAACACATACATACGTACAACTAAGTTTGTCAAAAAGAAAAACTAATAAACATTCAAGAATATAAACACTGAAACATAATATTTATAAAGTTACTTGTAAAGGTTAGAGTCGGTCGCGATGAGAATTAATTTGCTACAAGTCAAGAATAAATAACGATACTAAGGTTAGGTGTTAACGACGTGAAATTAGTTGAAATTATGTACGTTTGTAACTTACTGAACTCAGTCGCTATTGTTGTTGTTGGATATTTTTTTTTTTTTTTTTGTGTTGATGGACTTTTTTTTTAATGGGGGAAAATCATCGAATGACTGCTCCCACCTGGGTGAGACGGGAGGGAGTGTCAGACTCTTACTGACTAAAAACCACCCCGTTCCTTCTCCTGCGCTTTGAGCCGTAGCCCCGGTAGCCCGTTAGGTTCTCCGCGACTCCGAATCGGCAACAGCCCTATTGGGCGGGCGGGGAGCAACCCATGCTCGCCGTCCGCAGTCCCGCGCTTACGGTGGCCGGAGATCGTGGCACATTAGACAGGGACCAGGCAGCAGTACTGTCTAATAAACCTGATCGATCCTGTTATACATCAATTTACTTGGCAGAGCCTCTATGCTCTCAAAGAAGCCTAACTCTTTGTATTGTAGACATGGCAAAGCCGGTATCGGTCAGCCAGGAAAAGTAGGTGAAAAAGTTCAATATGAAGATCAATCGTGATCAGATCACCATCTGAAACCGCAATAAAAAGTCTTGATACTTTTAATTAATAGACAAATTATAAGTATGAAGACAACGCACTTATCAATCAATTCAAGTATGCCATCGACCGTTGCACGCATCTGTCATAGTCCACTGTTTCCTAGACTAAATTGGTCTGCTTGACCGTTCGAGTTACAGCAATTCATCATCAAGCGAGCATCGACCTTGCATTTGGGTTACGCAATAATAGTACCATCTGGTAATGTATTATTATTTGTCAATAGACCAATGGTGAATAATCAATCAGAACACGTACTTGATGTTTTAAATCTCGTTGATAGTGACTAAGTTTAAGTGTGGGAGAGCCATGCTTCGGCACGAATGGGCCGGCTCGACCGGAGTGATACCACGGCCTCACAGAAAACCGACCAGAAAGCCCAATTACCCTCCCCTTCCCCAATCTCCCCAATCCCTGAATTCCCAACGATCCTCAAACTCCTAATCCCCAAAAGGCCGGTAACGCACTTGTAACGCCTCTCGTGTTCCAGGTGTCCATGGGCGACGCCGATTACTTACCGTCAGGTGATCCGTCTGCGCGTTTATCGGCTTATGGCATAAATAAAAGTTATAGACAGACTTAGGTAAGTGTGTGACATATATTTCTTGCGGAGCAAATAAGAGATGATTTCCCCAAAAAAATTTACGTAATGGGGAAAATACCGTTGCTGAAACTAGAGTCACACAACTGGTGGTAACAAGTATATTTCTGTAGGTAGAAGAGCATGTTGCTACTTAACTGGACTGAGAAAGAAATTTTTGATTAAAGTCCTAGAGTTAGAGCACTTATATGTTTAAACGTTTACAAATTAACACTAACAGATAAATAAATTTGTACTACTGAAGGTGGACGACCCTTTACCCTTACGGGAGCATACTTCAACGTTATTTGAAGAGGACAACAAGGCACATTTGTACCGTACCTTAAAATGACTTAGGGCTTTTAAATATATACTTTCTTCTTCTGGCGTAGGCCGAGCATGTAATTGTGACTGTTTAGTATGCGTTTTATTTTCTCTTGTAACTTATAAGGTAAGAACAACAGGGATGATGACAGGGTATGAAAATTAAAAATCTAATTAGTCCGTCAGTTAGGTAATGAAAAAATATTAGACACGTATTTTTTTATTTTGTTGCATAATAAAATGATACTTAGATATAACGAATCAAAGTTTAGGAATGGGGATGGGAATAAAACGTCATTTCTACGCATAAAATGTACATAGAAGTGACGTCACGCGACAGTTCAAATCAATATATCGTCAAAAGTATTCGTTACTGTAAAAAAAATAAAAAATACGTATGTAATGTTTTAAAACAAATCTACCAGTCAGACATTAAAATAAAAATTAGTCATCTACCCTATTGTTGCAGTTCAATAGTTTTTTAATTATTTGTCAAGTTTGCTAGATTTTTTCGTCTCGATCTCCGCAATCTTTTTCTATTATAGTTTTTGACTTGAAACATGGTCCTTATCTAACTCAATCTTTATACAAATATTCAAGTTTTTAATATTATAATAATATGAAGTACAACTTACGGCGACATCGACTAGGGGCTCGTCCTCCGGCGTGAGCGCCAGCGAGGAGCGTCGGCCGGCGCGAGCCCCCGGCGACCCGCTCGAACTGCCTGCGACAACAGAAATAATAACATTACATTAGAATAATTATTCATTCTTTTGGGGTAAATATGATGAACATCTGTATAAAGTCGCGGTTGATGATCATATACAATATGCATTGACTCTATGACAAGAAAAAAGACAAAGACATAAGAGAGCCACCACACAAGTTATAAGTAATAGGCACATGACTAAACTAAAACAATTAATTATTCTAAATCGTTAAGTGATTTAGCAAAACTATACATTCGCAATGTCCAACTATGTTTCGTTTTCGTTTAAGTAACTTTCTAGACTTTTCAGGGATCAAATTAAGGATGTTACGTCCTGCATTTAGACTTTCGATAAATCTGAAATACTACGATAAATAATAATATATAGAGTAGTTGCCACTGCTTTAACATTCTCTTAAACTGTCAAATACCCTACGGTCACCGGTGACCGCAACCTATTGTTCTTTAATTGTGTCTATAAAAGATCTAAGAAATAATATCAAAAATTATGAACAAATATATTTGTTTTGTTTATTCTTTGTTTGTATTTAAATTCGTAAAACCGAAATTATAATATTTATTAAATATATTTATCTAAAAATATTACAATCTTCCTCGTTTCGTCCCAACGGTCAAGGACTTTTAAAAATTGCATTCGATATATTTAAATGCGTGTTCTTTACAAGTAATTGTATAAAAACTGTTTCACCCATACATAACCAGGTGTAACACCCATATCTAGGTTTCAATAAAAGGTTTTAATTAATATTTAACCCATTTTATTGAGGTTTCACCGAAATTAACTACAGACTGGCTGGCTTCTAATTAATTTAATTATTAATGAATTATCGATTCGCTCAAAATAATTATGTTATGACATCAAACGTCCCATGTAGTCTTTGTGGAATATTCATTTATTTATGTAGGTAGTATGTACCTACCTACTATATGTTGTAGACTTCGGTTATTTAAACGGGTTCTGCTTTCGAAAAATTAATTTTGAATTTTGAATTCTCA